AAATTGAAATATCGAGGCATTTCTGCTCGTCCCACCGCAACTTTCAACAACAGAATGCAAGATTTATTTAGGGCGGTGGAGGAGGGCGGGAGCGGAGTGAACCGCCCTTTCAGTCAGCGGACTGAAAGAGCAAAAAAAGAGGCTCGCGCAGGCATGCGGAAATCGCGGATGAACGTCAGGGAAGATGAACGGTTGAGTTTCGTGTTGCCTGCAGCAGTGACGATCGAGGTTGCACAGCATACCCTGTGGGTGTTTGAAACTGATTTCTTTCTAAGTCTTCCCTTCTCTTTTTTGGTTTGCATATGCCTAGTATGACCATCCATACAGGCATGAATAGGTTCTCCATCTCGAAGGCGTCAGCAAAAGGCGCACTGTACCGATTTGGAGACTACTAGGTCTGTCCTAGAAATCGGAGCACACCAATCAGGGTCGCAGAATTGACTGACAGACAGGTGTCTGTCAGAACTAACTGGGGCATGATTTCTCGGAGCAGATGGAGTTTAAAGATAGACTGCCCTGGCCCTTAACAGGAGGTTCATTGGAAAAAATGCTAATGCGCGTAGATTGTGTAATGTACGCTTCCCAGAGCAAAAAAATATAGCAGAAAATATTGTAGAACTCAGCCTTCTTCACAGCTGAAATTGCGTACAACAGGTACAGTTAAAATAGCTTTCCAGGGCAGTATAAACAGCAGGACGCAGCCCATAATCATGTAAAATTTCGGGCAGTAGAGACGACAATGAACACTGGCAGAAATGCGCCTAGCAGAGCACATCTCTGGCCCCTGAGTCACGTCAAATAAATAACAGTATTCATGCGCATTTCTAAACGTTTCGCAATTAGAAAAAAGACCATCTTCGACAAAATGGAACTTATATATAACCCTATACACTCCAGTGTTTTCCATCAAAACATGCATCAGTACAGCTCACTTAAAATTTTCTCGTAGATAAAATAAATTTCTTAACGAACTGTGGCCCGGTACAGTCCGACATTCTTTCTTTCGACTAAGAAAACGCATTGTAGATCATTAAATGTAATGGAAAGATCACGCTGTTGAAGACAAACTGACAAAGTTAGTAAAAGAGCTGCACAAAGAAGGACGTTTATCAGACAAGGAGCTGGAGGAACT